CAGTTGCTGTTTTGCAAAGAGTCAAAATACGATTCAGTTGCTGTTTTGCAAAGAGTTGAAATACGACTCAACATAAGGGCTCAGATTAAAGAGTCGACACACAACTCAACATAAGTTGCACCGATTGGGTGAGCAACAAACTCGTTTTGAAAATCGGCGACAACGCTTTAAGGATGAAGATGGACATAGCGAAGAGAATCTGACTCTTGTACCATGTGAAGAGTCTCATGTTTCTCTAAAGAGACTTAGTATCCATTAATTGATATGAATGTACATACTTGTCTTTTATAGACAAATTACAAATGAAAATAATAGAAATAAATCACAGTTTTCTATATTATACCCAAACTTACCATAAATACAAGATATTGTATCTACCCTTCTTAAATATACAGATATTATGAAGAGTCTTAGGTTTTTAGACTCGGCGTCCATTAAACATATGAATATATAGACTTGTCTTTTATAAATAAATTACAGATGATAAAATATAAAAATAAAGCATAATTTCCTATACTATACCCAAACTTACCATAAATGCAAGATATTACATTTACCATTCCTAAATATGCCTTCTATATTAACTAGATACGCAATATATGCTTTCCTTTCACAATAATAAGAGTCAATACAATTAGAGGGAGAACTATTCTAGTGTGAAGATGATTGTAAGTTAGGCACTGGTGGGCAAAAGGAAGCGTTGGACACAGACTTTGTAGCAGTGAACGTAAGACCTAAGAGTCGATCATGTGTTGTGGCAGTAGTACACATTTATAATGCTTTTGAAGGGGGCAAGTTAGAAGTTTAGACTGATTGAGAACATTCTTGATTTGTATCTTCAAGATGAACCAAATGAGAGGTATAGATGCCTATCAAAGGTCCATATTCGTGGAAAAAGAAAACCAGTTTCACTTAACATTCCAGAGTAATTTGTGGTCGAGGCAATGATTTCCCTTACGATTTCTGTCATATCCCAAGAAGACACAAGGGTTTGTCTTGGGAACTAACATTCCAGAGGAATTATCTACTAGCAGGTAGAGCCAAAATACATGTATAACAGGTAGAGCCAAAATATATAGAAAGTTATAATCTAGCTCCTTATTGATTAAAACTTCAAATATAAACTTTTGATTTAAATGCAAGATGGTTCTTATTGATTAAGGCGTCAAATATAAACTTTTGATGGTCAAACGGTTGATGAGGTAGACAACTGTACAAGAATGCTTTTATACCCATAACATTTTCGACATTCAAGCTTGTTCAAGCATAGCAATTCTTGTTTCAATAACGTAGCAATGATTTCTTTCTACAGTGCCATTTTGTTTGCGTACGTGTGGGAATGAAAATCACTAAAAAAAAATGTATCAGACTCATGTAGTAAATTCATAAATGTGGTTCCAAAAACAAAATATTTTCTACCATCATTTTGAAAGGAAATAGTATATAAAGAGACCATTTACTTCTAATATAAGGAAGTCACAATCTCTCTGGTCAGTCAGATTTCAAATCTGGTGGTTGTAAGTATTTCATTGAATAGATTCAAGCTTCAAAAAAAAAAAAATTTCTAGAATTATGATCTCCTTATAACAAAGATAAATGATTTCATAATATATAACCCTTTAAATGATTCAAAACACTTAATTAATTCAGACTTTTGTATTGGAGAAAATAACCAATTAAATTATAAAGACTCATCCATAATTAACCTGAATATATACATCCATTTTTTATAATATCCCCACACCCAAAAAAACCCAAAACAAAAACTAAATGCAAAAGTTCAAGTGGTACACTTCAGATCCAACTAGATGAATTAAAAGGCAATTTATCATTTTTCCAGCCAAACGGTAGGAGCAAAATCTAGAGACTCTCCTATTGCCAGATAATTTCAATTTTATTTTTATTTAGATACCCTAAAACCTTATAGTTAGGATGACCTAACTCATTATGTCATTTATCAATACTTCTATGTTCACTTTATATGAGAAATTATTATTTTTAATCTTATACTATAGAAGTGTTTTTCAATATTTTTAAATTATTTTGATGCAGTATTATAATAATATATTATAATTAACAAATATACAAATATCCAGATAGGAAAACACTGTCTCAGTATTAACTTATTTTTACAAAATAATAAAAGTACATTATGCACCACTCTTATTTCTTTTAACAATTAAAATAACACTATTTTTAAAGATTTATAGTGATTGTTTGAAAAAAAAAATTGCAACGACTTGCCGATTCTGCTGATGCTCCAATCTGATATGCCGATTCACCGATCCAACATGGTTTTTGGGGTGGGCGATCCAGGTCGCTGATCCGTTTTTTAAAACCTTGGTTTCACCTCATTCTAATATGCTTTTAAGATGTTTTATACAGTCTCTTTATTAAACCCCTCTTGATAAATGCAGTCTCTCATGGCATATCAGTTTGTATCCAAATTTCTCTAATATTGTGTGGCGAAGACATACAATGGCCTTGATATCATAAGTCCCATTGGTTGGTCTCATATGGAGATGATTTGATAACCTCTGAATGAGTCCAGACATTAAGGTATATATGGTGACCGGTTGTCAGGGCTTTCAAGGCATATTGGGCCCTGGATGGCAAGTCTTGATTGTATTACACCTTTTGTATGAGAACAATTGTTTAAGCATCCATCTTAATGTAGTCCATATAAAAACAACTGTAACTAACGGTCCAAATGTTTTCTTAATATAAATATTATATCTAGTTTTCAAAAATTATTTATTTTTTCATATTCATGATCTCCATGTTAAAAATTATATATACTCTAAAAATTGGGATCAAATTATATTTAAAAAATATATTTATTGCCAAGCCCGTATTTCTACATACGCATTCTAACCACATGCTAATGCCGTCCTTTATATGATATATGGACTATATTTCATAGATATATCTTGAAATCATATTTATAGGCTTTTCATAGTATCCATCCATCCGTCAGGCCTGTATGTGCTTGACGGCTATTTGATCTTGCTTCAATTTTTGCCTTGGGATTAATCCTAACCTTTAATTGTACATCTTGAATTATGGGTCCAAGCAAATTGAAATGTGCTATAAAAAACTAACAGTACGTGATTGAATCATGTAACATAAATCAGTACTTGAAGATGCTACCATAACCTGAATCAATCTTGATCCTCTTTTTCCTTTTATGAGAGGAAATCAATAACTAGTTTGGAATGCATAGCCTTCTGCAAGCTTCAATTCTTCACGTCGAGCTTTTGATTCCAACCTTATTGATCCATATCAATTAACTTCCATGTTATCGAGTTTCTATGCATTTTAAAGCTAGAATTTAGTGACCGAATCTCATCCATCTCTTATGTAAAAACTTCTCTCAAAATCGTTTCAAGTTGATGGAGAACACTAATATTGGGAATCCATGTTTCCCAAAATCTCAGAGGACAAGCTTTGGCTTAGCCATGGTTGAACTAAGAAGATCATGAAAGTTAAAAGGTGAATTTTAGTGCACTAGACTTCATTATAGAGTCTCACTGATCGAAAAGAAACCAGAAAAATTGTGGAATGGAAAAAGAAAGGCATGATAAGCAAGCACGTAGAGATATCACAACAAAACCGAGGGAATGTACTCAACTGAATTCAAAATCTCACCCAAATAACAAATTCTTGCAAGGAAAGATGGCTACTAAGCAAGAGAGTAGTTACAGCACCCTCCAATTTCTTTGCATGTTTTTCTTTCACAACCAATTTTTATGAAATTCGAAACCATGTTGGAAAATTTCCTGTAACTTTTTTCTTTTTGGGCCCAAACTGCCACGAAAATAGTGAGAACACAACTCAAAGGACCAAGCTTGTATGTATAGCAACATAGAAAGTAATCCAGAGAATAAAATCTATTTGTACAACAGAACTTATCCCTAAAAATGATAACCCAAATCTTTAGTTTTCAGAAGTTAGAAAAAAACGGTCTCTCTATTCTAGAAGAAATGACAAGGATTCAATTAAGCACCATATATTTTCTACAGAGTGTACCGTAGTTGAATGGACTATGGAATATCATACTCCAAGGTTAACCCATTGTTGGTTACTACTCATGGATGGCTAATATTAAAATGAAATGGTGCCCACAAGGAGAATACACCAAGGTAGAGTTAACATCAAACTATTTGTTAGTGGGAGAGAATGGTGGACTTAGTCTTGTACCATATATCATGGTACATTTGACTATGTTATCTTTTCTTTAGTCCCACCACATTCAAAACCAGAAGCTATAAATTACAAATAGAAATGATCAAATGGAAGTAGCATATTTTTTAAAAAGAAAAGGGTTGCAAGAAAATCCATGGTACCTGTTGTTTCATATATATCCATAGATACACATCCACACAAATATAAGCTGTACATATATGATAAAATCCATCAAAAGTGGTTGTCACCTTCACAAAGTTCCTGAGTAAGGATAGAGCCTCGACATTTGAGACTGCTCTTTTATGAGGATCCACGTAATAGGCTTATGTGACTCTTTGACCACAATCCATGTATTCCTTTAAGAAAAGATGTTCAGAGACTTTAGATGTGCTTGTTCGTGTGTATGTGAGAGAGAGAGAGAGAGAGAGAGAGAGAGAAGAAGAGAGAGAGTAGGAAGACGAAGTGTAGGACTATACTAACAACTATTAATAGTACGTACAACCTAATATAATAGTAATATATTACGTTAGTATACGTAATTAGTATTACTCTA